AGCCCTGCATAGCTGGATTCCCCAGGCTCAACCTTTGGACGGAGGGGCTCCCGGACAAAGTGTCCCCTGGTTGGTCTTCTCCTCTGGGCCTGGGCCCTCATAGGATTATCTGGCTGTGAGGGCAAGAGCTACAGACAAAGCTGTTCTTCTGTTATCTAGCCATTGCCCCACAGTAGTCCTCGATTAGACGGGTTTCAGGAAATGAAAGGATGGCTCCTCCAGCCACCTGGTATTTCTGCGAGTGTTCTGCCAGTAGTAAAATTAGATAAGGAAGAGTTTAAGGATGGGCATTGAGTCAGCTCTGACATTAGGCTGGGGTGGCGGCCGCTATCCAAGGATTCCAGGAACTGACACTGATCCTGTCGGTCATTTCTTCGATGTCTCAGCTAACCATTTTAATGGGAGATAGCAGGAATTTGGGCCAGGACCTTCTGAGTGCAAAGCACGGTTTAACAATTTGCTAGCTGAATATGTCATACTGTGTGAGGCTGCGAGGACCCTGCCTAGCCTGCTGCCCTCACCAAGCCTCTCAGACCAATCCATTATCTAGATTTTGCATTATGGGCAGGGGCCTTTCCCTCATTACTTGCTGGGGTCTATAGGTACCTGAAACCAGGCCTACAGTTGCTCCATTTTGGGTCTGTCTGCTGGGTGCAGAGGCAGAGAAGTCGCGTACTTCCTTCCCAGCCTACCTATGACATGTTGGAGCACCTTNCCCCCCCCCATAGCACTGCACCAGGGCCGTCTCTGAAATGCTGGTTGTCTCTATGCGTTTCCCTCTTGCTGAGTGACAGTTTGATAATGCACTACAGTTTCTTAAGACTTCGGCTCTGAAAGAAGAAGAGGGTGGGGGCTGTTTATAGGGGTGGGAGGAGGAGGAGGAGGCGGCGGCAGAGGGAAAAGAATAATCATCCTCTCTCTCTGAATTTTTAGAGGCAGTTGCTTTTCTCACCTCCTTCTCCACCCCCTTATCTCACTGTGGGGAGAGGAAGAAGGAGGGGAAAGAGAGAGAGAGAGAGGCTTGTCTGTATTTTATTTTATTTAGAAAGAGAGAGAGAGAGAGCAGAGCAGAGAACGAGGCGATCCACAGAGCTTCATGAAAATGATAAATTGCTTTTAGATATTGGGCAGGAGAGAAAGAGAGTTCTTTTTTTTTTATTTGACAATATTAGTCTCTTAGTGGTGCATTGTTGCCGTGCATATGAGCTTAAACTCTCCAGGCAGCCGAAGCCAAGCGCCCGTGTATTGAAGTGTAAATGAACCGCTGGCAAACGTTTCCTCCCCTCCCCCTCACTCTTTTATGATTTCTTTTTCTCCACACACTTTTTAGTTTTTCTTCTCTCCCTGCTATATTCTCTCTCTCTCTCTCTCTCTCTCTCTCACACACACACACACACACACACACACACACACGCTTCTGTCCCTAAAATACGCATGTGATGCCCAGCGCTCAGAAGTTTAAACTCACAGAATGCTGGTTGGGGAATTTTGGGAGATGCAGTCCAAAAAGACTAAACATCCCAAGGCCTCTCACTGTCCTCAATGTCAAGGTCTCAATTATATCTAATTAAATCAGCAACTGGGAAGAATGCAGAATAAGGGTTGGTCCTGAAAACTGCCTCCTCCCTTACCTGGACAAAACAGCAGTCCTTTATTTATTTAGAAACATGCCATTTCACTTCTCTGTCCACCAGGCTGAACAAACACAGCGCTATAAACAGGTAAAATGTAATCCAGGGGAAGTTGCATTTTACCTTTAACACAAGGTGCACAAATAGCATGCATCTTGTTTTCAAATTGAATTGTGCTTCTTCTGGCTTCTACCGCTGCATGGCCACTGAGCTCCGTAGATCATCGGGCAACAGATAGATGTTCTGTCTGGCTGAGTATAAGATTCACATTGTCCTATCAGTTACATACTGCCAAGTCAATTCTGATTTACAGCCACCCTTTCCAGGCTTTTCTAGGTGTACAGTGCACAGAATTGGTTCACCATACTTTTCTTCTGGGGATGCCGTGGGCCTGTGCAGCTTGCCCAAGGCTACAGAGGTCGGCTCTTCTCCTGGGAGGCATAGTGGGGGGAGGGGTTTCCACAATCAGATATTCACAATCAGATGTGGGAAGCATAGTGGCGGGGGGGTTTTTTTCCACAATCAGATATTCACAATCAGATGTCTAACTCCCTGAGCTATCCAGCCACATTGTTCTAGTAATTTGTTCTAATCAAGCCTGCCTATGCAAATCTGAAATAATTGCAGATCCCTCTCCTGTTTACTTTTTCTCCTTTTCTAGGTGAGGGAGTTTAGCTAAGTGACAGAACGTGCATTTTACAACAAACATAAAGTCCAGGTTTCAAGCACGGTGCCTCCACTTAAAAAGGTAGACAAGACTGGCCCAGAGACATGAATAGTATGAGACAGAGTAGAAGACCTTCCTGCTCCGTCCCATCAGACCTGCAGTTCTGTGCTGAGGATAACACACGCGGATTTAGAATAGCAATGGTGGAAAAAACTGAATGGGGACAGAACTGAATGTATAGGCAGTAGAAACTAGGAGAAACTAGGAAACTAGGAGGTCTATATTAAAACTGTTCCTCCAGTCTTAATACAGTACTTTGGGTTAGAATCCTAACCTGTTTAGTGCTGGATTCGTGCTATTCTGTCTCTCTCTTTCTTCTTCCTCTCCTCCTCCTCCTCCTTCTTTCTCCTCCTCTTCTTCTTGAGAGGTTCCATATCTCTGCAAGCAGATATGTAATTATAATCTTCTCAGTTCCGGGAAAAGATGTATCTCTTGAATTAGGCCCGTGCCAACTGGAAGAATATTTTGTGGCAGTTCTGTTTTCGAAGAAGGCTATCAAACTCCGCAAATTCCCTCTTTCTCGGGGAACAGAAGAGCTTCAACAGAGCCTGCTTGCAGCAAAAAGCAGAACGGATAGCTAACCCTATCCTTCCATTTTTGAAAGGTGTGGAGGAACATCACCATTTGGATCAGCACCTCGAGAAAGTGCTGGCGTGAGTTTTAACGAAGCAGGGGTGGGGACGGGCAAAGATACACATGATGGGGCACAAAGGGCGAATCCTCACGGCTAAGGTGAGGTCACCCAGGGCTTTTCCATGACTGCACACAGAACCGTTATATCCAAGATCTAAGGCCTGCTGTTCTGTATTGTTTGGGGAGTGCATGGAAAATCATACATTGCTCCCTCCCTCTTCTTCCTCCCTCTCCCCCCCCCAACACTCTGTGTGTGTTTCTCAGCTTCACATACCTGGCATCCCTCCCACCTCCCCCATCAGCCTCCAAAAATAAAAAAAAAGAACAGCCACCGCCTCTGCCTCATTTGCAATTCAGATAGAGAACTGCTCTGTGCTGGCTTTCTGTGATTAGCATGCATGAT